AACTTATGTTATTTCCAGCACCCTCTTAAAAACACAAACAGCACCCTTCAAGAACCCTAAAGTTTACGCTTCTTACTCTGTTCCAACATGACACTTGCGGTCTACAGCGGATCGGATTAACAAGTCCATTTTGCGTGGCAGGTACAGCACGGTCAGATTTCCACACCCGTTTAAATTTATAATATTTATAAGGCTTTCAGGTGTGGAAATCTGACCGCAACTGAGGTGTCGACATGTTGCACGTAGGATTCTAAGGGGAAAGGGTTTGTGATGTTTTAGAAGTCAAGAAGCGCAACTTTTGGCACCCCAGTGTATTGCTACTTCCTCTGCTTGACCCGGCCGCGGCCTTCTTCACCCAAAGGATTCCCTGCTTGACCGTCGCGCTACGTACGTACGACCGTCGTGACCGAGCCGACCGGACCGAGCCGACCGGATGGCGCGCGGCGTGCGCGTCACAGGTCGACCGATGGCCTATGTGGCTCAGCGCCCGTGGCTGCTTGGCGCGAAGAGGGGTGTGGTTAAGGCAAGCGCTGACTGAACAGAAGGAGAGAGAGAGAGAGAGTGTGGGCTCCATGAAGCCGGCCGGCCCTTGATTTTGCTTCGGGATGGGACGGAAAGCGAGGCTTGCGACGGGCTTCTCGATGGAATCAGGTTTGCGAGGGTATTCCATGTGTAGACAACCCTGCACTGCTTAGGGATCTCCATTGGACACCCGGTTGGATGGTCCACAGTATACACGTTCCTTCATTTGCACGGACACAACTCTTGACCCGACTTTCGGATTCAGAGCATGACTTGGTGCGCCAAAGCCTCGAGGCTGTTGAACGGCACGCTGATCGAGAATGTGACCTTTGGCCACGCGTACCACGAGCAAAGGATCCAAGAGACACTCGAGAGCTGTGCTTTGCTGCAGGTGCATGACTCGGGGAGGGGTGGAAGGCTGTCAGTCGGATGCCACCAAAGAGCAGTGCAAGAGTACAGGCAAAAGACTCATCAAGTCCTTTCGAGGTCGAGCGCGTATGAGGCCCAGGTTGAAGATTCAAAGAAAGTCGCTGACCGTGCTCCTACTGAAGGGGATACCTATCAAAAAGAAAATTGATTCCTATCAATAAAAAATTGTTTCCTATCAAAAACAACATTAGTTCGTATCAAGAAAATTCCCTCTACTCCTTTGGTCCTGGCCTGCTGGTTCCCTGATCGCTTGGTCCTTTGCTCCCTTTGTCCTGGTCCCTTGGTCCCCTGGTCCCTTGTTCCCCCTGGTCCCTTGGTCCTCTGGTCCCTTGGTCCTCTGGTCCCTTGGTCGCCTGGTCCCTTGGTCCTCTGGTCCCTTGGTCGCCTGGTCCCTTGGTCCCTGGTCCTCTGGTCCCTTGGTCCTCTGGTCCCTTGGTCCTCTAGTCCCTTGGTCCTCTGGTCCCTTGGTCCTCTGGTCCCTTGGTCCTCTGGTCCCTTGGTCCTTGGTCCCCTGGTCCTTGGTCCTTTCATCCTCTGGTCCTTCGTCCTGGTCTTCGGGTCCTTGGGTCTGCATTTTCGAGGCAAGACGCGTTCAAGGTGATTTGGAGATCTGGTCATACATCCTCTGAAGCACTGTAGCAGACCTTTGATCACCAGACGTAGCAGGCCTTTTTTGTGAGCTACCCTGACGGTAAAATTTGAATGAAGAAGGTGCCACTCCAAGGTAGCAAACCTTTTGTCAGCCACTTGAGGGTAAAATTTAGAAGAAGAAGAAGGAGCCATTCCAACGTTGCAGACCTTTTGTTAGCCTTGCGAGGTAAAATTTAGAGGAAGAAGTTGTCATTCCAACGTAGCAAGCCTTTGTTTTGTGAGCAACCGCGCCTGCCACGCAGTCTGCACTTCGAGGTTCAAGTGCTGCGCCTGCAATGAAATCTGCAGTTCCAGTGCACAAAGTGCTGCGCCTGCCGCGAAATCTGCAGTTCCAGTGCGCAAAGCGCCGCTCCTGCCACAAAACCTGCCACTGGAGGTGCTCAAAGTGCTGTGCTTGCCACGAAATCTGCACTTCCAGTGCGTTAAGTGCCGCTCCTGCCACGAAATCTGCTACTGAAAGCGCTCAAAGTGCTGCGCCTGCCACGAAATCTGCACATCCAGATTCACATCGCGCAGCGCTGCCATGGCGGTTCGCAGTGGCAGGCACAGCTTTTAGTGAAAGGATATTTTCTTTTTGATACTAATTAATTTTCTTTTTGATAGGATATAGAAAATTTTCTTTTTGATATATATTTATTTTCTTTTTGATAGCCCGGCCCTACTGAAGACCCTTTTCAGCTCCATATGAAAGACCGCGTTCCAAACCAGCATGTGTTGAAGCCTAGTGACCTCCGGAGCGTCCGGACGCAAAAGCAAACTGGGAACTCCAGCTCTTGACACATCGACGTGATGTTCACGTCAGGTTACACATGGGTTACACGTTCTTCTAGAAAAACACACCCATCTTAAGCCACCGACGAAACACATGGAAGTCCAGTCGTCCAGTCGGCGCCACGCGTCGACCGCATTGGGAGGACCCTATTCCTTCCGACCCCAACAGCAAGGGGTCAGCGTCGAACCATGGTGGCCCGCAGATCGAAGCATGTGGCCGATCGAGTCTCCGAAACCAAATCGCTGAATTTCATGGGCGCCTTCGCTTGTTTCGCCCATCGGGTTGTTCGAAGAGAGCGGCCACCACCCCATGTGGTCCCTTGCGTTCGTGCCTGGTCCGGTCGCTAGGGCCGCTAGGGTCCCTCCTTTTCACCGTCGCCGGGTCGGGCGATCGGAAAACACCCACCCGGGCCGTCGACTGTCCACCACACGGTCCACGCCATCGGTTTCTTTCCGACGCTCCGAGGGAGGCTTCGCGAGTTGCCTCGAGCCGGGGGACGTGTCGGTCCTCGTTTCCTCGTTTCCTCGTCCTCGTTCGTCGTTGTCCGAAAGGACTTGGCGTCGTTGCCGGGGGGCCGAAGCACCTTGGTGGGCGAGGAGGGCGTCCAACTCTCGGGGGGACAGAAGCAGCGCGTGGCGCTGGCGCGGGCGGTCTACAGCGGTGCGGAGGCGAGGGATGCCAGTCTCATGAGTCTCATGAGGGAGGGAAGACCACGGTGACACTCGAGTGACACTCATGAGATACACTTACTCTGGACCCTGGTGACCGTGGTGACCGTGTCCTCCTTTGACGTCGACCGGTCCCGGCAACTCGTCGCAGGTGGTGCTCCTGGACGACGTGCTTTCGGCGCTGGACGCCCACGTGGGCAAGCAGATCTTCGAGGCGGTCATCGCTGGAGCGCTGCGCAGATCGACGCGACTGCTGGTGACGCACCAGCTGCAGTACTGGTCACATCCGGAGGCGAACTGGGTGGAACTGGGTGGAACTGGTGTTTTCCAAGTCCGGGGAGTGCTGGAAGAAAGGATGACTGGAAGACTGGAAGTCTGAAGATCTGGTGATGACTGGTGGACGAACTTTGGGAGACGGATGATGACTGGTCGTTTTCGTGGAGACGAGATGGTGTGGGGGTGTTGATGGGATGTACCATTCTTTCGGAAAGAGCTTGACCCGAACTTATGTTTGGATGATGATGTTCCTTTACCAGGAGAACGGTACTCGCACGTTAGTTTGTGTGTATGGGAATGGTGGCTTGGTGATGGACCATCTCCACCCCAAGCCACTCCCTTCTTGTGGAATGCGAGTTCTGTTTTTGGTCCTGGGGAAGTTCTGAATAGACAGTGCTGGTTTTCGGCAGAGAACATCTTCAAAGCCCCATCGAACAGCACTCACATGCACTCACCAATCCAACCACTCACCTGCTCACGCATGTGGGTGCTGAGTGGCCAGACCGGTCTTGTCAACAACAGTGGAACAAATACCATTTCACCGCCTCAAAGATCACTCGTTTAGTGGCTTCTCACTGGTTCTGGCAGCCCAGGTGAACCGCATTTTGCTCCTCCGCGCAGATGGCAGCTGCCACTTTCTGGGAAGTCTCTTGGCCACGGTGGGGGGATGCTGCATGGATGCAGAACTGATCCATGCTACTGTCCGGTCGCCCACAACCCTGCAACCCATGGTTTTCAATGGGCACATGCCACTCAATCAGTTCTGCTGTCAGCAAGGCCACAAAATCACATCGACTGTGCTTGGTGGCAATCGCCGACCAGAGCCAGGTTCCCCGTGCCCGTGCACTCAGCTCCCGCCCCTCCTCGAGGCTATCAGGAACTGGTGAAAGCGCAGATCCATGAGCTCACGGCACTGCAGTCCGAAGAAGCCGAGCACGGCAAGGACGAAAAGGAGAACGGAGACGTGGAGAAGGCCACTTGGGCCATTGGCCATGTTGTTAGACCAGAAGAATCGCAGCTGGAAGATTCGGAGACATGCCGATCTCTTCCAATCTCAAGTGGTTGAAGCTTCAGATCGCTCCAGTGCTCCAACGGGTCACCCGCCCGGTCACCACCCATGGGTTTTCCTCTAAGGAGAAGTCGCAGGTGAAAGCCGCCGACGCTGAGACCGTGAGTCGATGCTCGGACGGCCCGACCGAGACGTCGAAGTGATCGTTGAAAAAAATGGTCGACTGGACTCCCAGGGTCACCATGAAGCATACCTCTATAAATACCTCTAAATACATCTCTATGCTATACGTCTCTATACCTCGATCTAAGCCTACCTCTCTCTCTCTTTTGGAACACGAGCGCACCGTGTCGTTCGCCTCTGACCGCACGCAAGCGCACGCGAGTCGGTCGGTCGTCGACTCTGAGGACACCTGGAGTCTCAAGAAGTTCGACGATTAGGACATATCCTCAAGGCTGACCTCATGGCCTATGCCAGAGCTTGTGGAGGCTTAGGCTGGACCCGAGATTCGGCTGTGAACGGTGGTTCTTGGCCCACTGGCTTGCTGTGCTTGGTGCTGGGGCCGCCGCAGGTGTTCAAGACGCCCAGTTTGGTTTCTGAAGGTCTTCTCTTTGTGAAGGGTCCATTCTTCGTCAGATTGGCTGACAGCATCGACATGCATCGACTCCTCCTTCGCATCCAGACTCGCATTGGGTGACAGCACATCCTAGTGAAGATGGCATAGTCCTGCCCTGCTGAAAATGCTGAAATTCACACTTCTCAAGTTCATCATCTGTTTCTTTGGATTTTTTGTGCGTAGGTGGTGTGTCCACCATTGCCTCTTTGATGGTCGCCACTTGGTGCAACAGATGGGGATCGGCCACACCGAGCGAGCGAGCGAAAGGGACACGTGGACCACTCTCCTTATTGCGGTCAACGACCTCGGAGACCGGTGACCGCGAGACCACCTGCAGGGGATTGTTGTTTTATATCTGGGGCATGCTGCAGCTGCAGTGAGTTTCTGCATGAGACAGCCAAGGACATGCTGAGAATATGGGACAACCGCACGAAGATTCCCCACAAAAGCGTGGTTGACCAGCTTTCGGGACGTAACTGCACGCCTTTTTTGGAGGATACGTAGTCTCTAAGAAAGCCATAGAATACGGGTAAGAATGCGGGAAACAACGGCCGCACTTAGTGGAGACACGAATCCATGGGCCCTTTTGGCCCTGCGCTTCACCTCTTTCCAGAAAGACAGCGTGCTTCAGCAGAGAATTTGGGATCATCGTTTTTTGGCTGTTTCGATTGCGGAAAGTATCAACTTTTTTGCCTCAGACAGACCCTATAGTGGACAGCAACCATGTGGGCAGTCCATTCACCTCCGAAGTCCTTACCAAGAGCGAAAGCGCAGAGTGAATGGGATGACCAGGTCTACTATGGTGCGCAGCTCAGCTCCAGTTTGCAGCTGGCCTTTTGGTCCAACGCCAACGTGCAGGCGGAGGATAGCGGACACCCTGAGGCGGGGGCCAGGGGGGCCGAAAACAGAGGTCTTTTGCTTTCCAAGAAGATGTCCAATCCTTCCTGGGCACGTTTCAAGTTGCTTCAGTTATGTTTTAGATGTTACAACGCGCATGTTCAACAAGCCAACGACCCCCCCCACAAGTGTCCCCTGTGCGCACCGTTTCGCCTTTTCTTTCCCCCGCCGGTGTCCCTCCAAGGCGCGGGAGGCTAGTCGGAGATACTTGGCGCCCGCGGCAGCAGAGCGGTGGTCGCATGAGTTGACGCTGTCCAGGGTCAGACCACGGGTCGGTCCCTTCACACGGAACAGTGAATTGGTTGATCTGTGGTCCATCTGAGCCTCCAATGATTTGCCCACAGACACTGTGGAGAGTTTTTCCCCAGACAAGACACTTGTGTCAGCTTGTCGAAAGCTCACTTTGCATCATGATGGGGTCGATGTGGTGCCTTACAGCTCAACTATCTCAGTTGAAACAAGCTGGTCTGGTGGAGATCTTAGGGTTTGACCTGATATATCTTCTCTTTACCAGCTAAGGTACGGCCAAATCTATCACCATTTTAAACATTTCATACAGTAGAGTTGGATTTTTCAGCCTATAACCTGCTTTGGAGTGAGCAACCTTTCAGTGTTGTTAAGCGGAAAGGAACAAAGCACAGACACCTGCGTAATTCTGTGTGGCTCTGGTTGTAAAATTGCCGGTTCTTCTCAAACGGTGGTGTTCTTTTCGTGTACTCTCGCGGCTCACGCTCTCACCTGCACTTGAGGTGCAGTACATGGCTTTGTGCCTCCTGACGGGCTGCAGTTGCTTTTGCTTCTTCTTCGGCATCCAGTTGGTGGCCCTGCGCGCCTCCAAGCGGCTTCATGACCGCTTCATGCAAGGCCGGCCAGGATGGATCGAAAGCGTCCTTGGGGACCTGCCGAAGTGGTGAAGAGCAGAATGAAGCACCACAGCCAGTTTACCGTCCACACGGAGGGTGCAAGGGATGGCTTGAGCAGAATGAAGCAACGCAATCAGATGGTGAAGATGGGTTTGTTTCATCTTTTGTTGTGAAGTCCTTCAGATGAATGGGTCCACACCTCCTGCTTAGGGATCAAGGATGGATCAAGAATTCAACCAGGCGATCACCAGAAAAAGAACACAAAAATAACAATCTCACCATCTCCCTAGGCTTCCAACCACCATTCTTTTTGGCTTTGACCCGGTTTCACCATGGTTTTACGATAAGTTTTTTACACTACAACACCAGGTCGTTATCGTTACCGAACTCTTTTAATGGTCTACCAGTACCCTCACAACACCAGGTCCTTCGTTGAGGAAGGGAGCTGACTCTCCCAGGTCGAAGCATTGGTGACCTGTTTTGTTTTCTCTTTTTTTGTCGGGTCCTCGAACTCATTTTAGTTATCATCGTTTCATGTCTCTGTTTTTGAACACCCATCGTTTCCTACATGTTTTTACTAACGATTTTACACTTAAAACAAAGAAAAACATGTTCTTTTCTTTGAACCACTTGTTAAACATGCTCGGGTTCCGGACAGACTTCCAGGACCCTCCCAACACCACATGTCAGTCTGTTGCTCGAGGCCTCATGTACACGCAGCTCCGCTTCTTCGATCTCACCCCCACGGGCCGCGCGCTGAACCGATGCCTCAAGGTCCGGACGTCCCGGGGCAACGACGTGCCGGACGGAGGGGTCCAACGGCTTCGTTTGCCGTTCCTTTTTGTTCGGTGAAAGCGAGAAAGACCATCAAAAGAGTTCAGTTGAACCTGGTTTTGCAGTGTAAAACCTTAGTATAGAACAATGGTTCTTCGCGATTCAGCCTGTGAACTGGGCCAGGAATCGGAAATGACCAACGACTCAACCATTGCCGGGGCCATCCGGACCGACTAGACCTGTGTGGTCGCCGCATAAAGAATTGGTGGTCCATGTTCTTCTTTTCAACATCGACCTAGTTACCCCGTTCGTGAACTTGGTACCAAGCGAGCCGGCTGAGCCGACGGTCGCGCGGCTTTTGGACCACGTCGGACGAGTCATGTTGGTTAGATAGGCGGGTGGGCCGGGATCATTAGGCCACTAGGTCCTTGGATTCTGTGACTCGATTGGAAGAATGCCAGCGATTTGGCGCATCGTTTGCAGCAACCAGGATCAACATGACTGATCAAATAGATGTTTTGACCAAAAACCCGGTCGAGCAGGACATGTCCACCATGGACGATCGGATGCCGGCAGCCTTTCGAGAGCTCTTCGAGTCCTGCATGAATGTGTGCCACAGCGTCGAGGGCGGGAGCATGAAGGGAACATGAAGGCGTCAGAGCGGTTCTGCCAAAGGTTCTTCGGGATATTTTATTTTAGGATGACTCGCTGCTTAAAGATTCCTCACGAATGTGGACATCGAAGAAATAGGGTCAGCATGGGTCGTCAAACATGGTTTCCGCACATTGAGATGCAAGGACTGTTGCAAGGCGTTATAGTAGGCCTCAAAAAGTGGGTTCTGATTCTTTGCCATACGAGTAACTCGACAAGCTTGGGCCAGAAGAGGGCAGCAATCTCATTCAAGTCATGCAATAGAACGAAAGACAAAGAGCTTTCCACATGCCAAAGAACACAACATTTTTTTGGGTTTTAGGCAGTATCAATCCACCCAGTAATACGATGTCAATCGATGTCGATATTTTCCCTGGCCCGCCGGTGGCCAACGTGGCCTGCCGGGCTCTACACATCACTCAGGTGCATCTCGGTTTTGATCCTCAGCCTCTTTGCATGGCAAGCTTTAGCACCTTCGACGAACTTAAGGGTTCGGCTCCGGAACAGGGGAGTTTCGAAGGGAGGCAGACCTTTCTCCTCCATGGGACCCAGGCATCCTGAGGCGGAACCGGGAACAGGCTTTGGCAGGCGGGCTTGGCTCCCTGAGGAACCTGAGTCCTCCCCCAAGCGCAACGACGAGCGATGCGGAACTCACCGGAAGAGTCCGTCCAATTCATCGGAACCGCCGCGCCGTTGTACTCCTCCGAGGTGTTGAGAACACCAGGTCAACTCCACAAAATCTGACAGCTGAAGACTTTGAAGACCATTTCTAGAACCATCATAAGCCAGAATCCTTTCATGAACAATGACAACCATCTGTGGACCCCAAAACCGGCGCCCCTCAAAACACCTTTGTTCGGACGATCGAACTTCACGGCACCCCTTCGTTCGTTCGGTGGTGTCTTCGAGCGGTGTTCGGCGCTTGGGACATCGGCCGAGGTGGTCGTCCCACCGTTCTCGGTGCTCTATTGGATGACCATGACGGTGTACCGCTGGCCCGCACGGGACTTGCGGCGCTTGGAAGGCGAGGGAAGGGAAGTCGAAGATGAAGGATGGTGAAGAATTGAGCAGAAGAAACAAAACAGAGAGGAAGTGAGAAGATCTCAAACAATTCATGGTAGGACAACATGCACGGGCTTTGCGGAACTACTCTTGCTCAGCTAGGGCCAGGGGCCCTTCTCGATCACGCCAGGCACCTCGCGATCACCAGGAATGAGCCACTTTTCCGATTCCATCAAAGGCGCCAGATGCGGCGTTGGGGCCCGTGAAGGATCCAATTCTCTGTGGGACACGATCGGTATTTGTTTGGGCATGCCATGAGAGTCAGAGAGTGGTATCGTATGGTTTGTGTGCGTCTTGTGTCTGTTCAACCCTGAATTCTTCTTCAACACGTTCTTCCGCACGTCGTGCAAGGGCGCCCTTCCTCCATTCCCCACGAATCCATCCTCTCTCGGATTCCATCCTCTCTCGGCTTGGCGTTCCTCTCTCTTGGGCAACGGGACTCGGACCCAGCGCGAGGCGCTCGGACGGTTCGAGCCTATGGGCATGAAGCGCGCTTCCTGCAGAGGAACCTGGTGCTTCGGCAGAGCGGCGGAGCGGCGGAGCGGGCTGGGGTGTGATTGAGAACTGGGGGGGGGGTCATCCAGATCGAAAAGCAATGATGGGAACAAGAAAGAACAACTGATTTTTGGGACACACATGTTCTGAACATGTGAAATTCACATCTCACTCCTGCTCCAAGCTGTATTGTGCCCGCGGTTTTTCGCTGTTGAGCCACTGAGGAGCTGCTGGGGCAGAATCAGCTGACGACGTACTGGTTCTGGGTCGCTCAAGCCTGGGTCTCCTGCACTCAGGTTCGGGACGGCGCGGACCGTGCGAGCCCGTGCGAGCCCGGTGGTGTGTGGTCGCCTTCCTGAATCGATTGGAATCGATGGGCGTATATCAAGGCCTTGTTGATGCATGGATCAGGTCGCCTTGTTGGGGATTCAGAGAGTACGAACAAGAAACACAGAGATTGCATTAGAGCTTTTGACGCAGAACTCCCGGAGTTCTCTTTCTGAACCGCTCGTTGGAAGCAACATAGGTCTGGTGGAGCAGATCCAGTGTGTAATTGTAAACAGTCCGTCTTAGAGTCTTACACTCGTGCTGGTGTTATTTTTGTTCGTCACATCCGTCACCCTGAATCGACCAAGGGATATGACATCCCAGTCCCCTCCACACGAGACTTCCGGGGTGGAACTTCCCCTAATCGGACCGGGCGTCATCTCACCAGCCGCAGGAGGTGTTGGGGACGCTGGCGCTGGCGGCTGTGGCCGGCGTGATTGGCTACCGGGCCTATCTGGGCAGTCTGAACCCAGGCCGCGGGGGGGGTACGCGACGCATCGCGGGGGCTCCACCAAGAGATTGAGGCCATTTGAGGCTGCCTTAGGCTGATGAACACTTGGGGCGAGTCCGTCCCATGTTTTGGTGTTCCTTTCTTTTCTCTTGAAAGCAAGTACCTTCCATCAAGCTATATATATGTACTATTTTGATGTTGGAGCCAAGTAGGGATGGTCAATTGCATCTCCAAATACGGGCAATACAAAGCATTTGCATCCTTACAGTATTATTCCATGGGGGATGCATCCGTAGGTGCACGACCACTCTCGCCTTTGTCCGTCGTGGAGCATCCAAAGAACGAGGCGGAACACGTTGCCCGGGCAGTGCTTCGAGCGAAGCTCGGGCTGCCCGGCTCGTGTGCGAAAACATGCCAAACACGGTGGTGTGTATCACATGGGTGTGTACCCCCAAAACACGATTTCTTCAAGCCACCGAGCAATCAGGTGTATCAAACAAAATATTGGAGACCTTTGAGGGAACAAGCCCGCTGCAATAAAAGCATCGGGAAATAGACCATACTCAAGACCATAAACCATACACAGCCAAATCAAAAAACCGCCAGAAATGAGGCACGAGCTTCAGAACCTGGATGAACCTGTTGTTTTAGCGGTCAAGGTCAAAGACATGAACTCACTGTTCACTACGCTTGTTACTGTAGAACCAGGTATAACTCCAAAGCCGTTTTCTTCCTTGGGAGAAGAGTCACGTTTGCTTGTCGCTACCAGGCTTGGCAGGCTTGGCTCTCTCCTATGCCATGAGCATGCCACGGAACTTGATGTTCCTCTCACGGCGCCTGGCGACCATGGAGGCGAAGAAAGCATCCCGAATGGTCCGACCTCAAGGAACCGTGGTGTGTTTGACCCTGGGCGGTTGAGTCAGACAGTGGCAGACAGTGGTTGAATCATCAAACTCACTCAGGTGCAACAGTAGATCATGTGGACTCTTGATTCAAAACCCCTATAGATTATATGAAGATCGCTTTAGAACCCAGTCCAAGTGTGGGTGGGGTGGGGTTTTACAGGTTCTATTCATCAAGAGTCTAGACCTAGGAGAAGGTTGTAAAGAGACGACCCAGGAAGCCCGGCTTCCCAAGCCGCGATCCGGTCCTCGTCGAAGGATGAACCAGCAGTCGAACGGTCGTCAGACGAAGCAGTTGGAGACCTGTTGGCGGGGGTTTCAACGCTATTCAGCAGTATATTACTCCTCAGATATTCAAGACTTGTTCACACACACACAAAGGAACAAGAGCAGGCGCCACTGCTTTTTTCATCAGAGAAAGCTTTCGCCCATTTGCGTGCCCCTTTGAATGCCCAAACGCACCGCGCTGTGCCGCCACACAGCGCCAAAGGCGCGTTCTCCGCCGTGTCCACTTTCCGGTTGGCCGGTTCAATTCCCGCCGCTGGGTTTGCTTTCGGTACACTGGGCAGGTGGAGTTCGTGTCCATCGAGCGGGTCATGGAATACACCCGGCTCCCGCACGAAGTGACTGACACGCAGCCCGTGGTGGACGACGAGGACGCCGAGGACCTGCTCCGCGATGCGACGTGGGCGGTGAGGGCCGAGGGGCTCTACTTGCGCTATGACGTGGATGGGCCAATGGTCTTCAATGGCTTATCATTGAAGATCGAGGCCGGGAGGGGCTTGCGATGGCTGGGAGGGTGGTGAAAGGATTTGGAATGACTTGGGACTTTTGGATCAACAGTTGCCTCACCTGACACGGTCCAACCTGCCCACCGCCCACGCCAGCTGCTTCATCCCGCCTCCACAAAAGACGTGGTCACCCGTGGATGCAGCTGATGCACGTTTCGGAGGCTGAGGTCGAACACAAACTTGTCACTCATTAGTCTGTAAGTAGACCCAAGGGAGGCTTAAGAGAAGTATAGACGAAGAGGTATCCACCTTTATCCTCCTTTGCCATCTCATGCCAGAAGCTATATACCCCCTTCTTGCGCACTTGCTGGTGCACTCGCTGACACTTCTTTCGGTGCTGGCGCACCTTCCCTGTGGCACGGAATTTGCTCGACAGGTGGCAAGTAGCTGTGCCCTGGTGGGGCGCACCGGCTGTGGGAAGAGTAGCTTCCTGAGCGCCTTGGTGCGGCTGTACCCCATCTGCGGCGGAAATCTCTACGTCCATGGCCCGAAGCTCAACGCCAAACAGAATTGACATGTACTGTATACTGTATACCTAAACTGGGCCACGCGGATTTGGTGGTGAAACCACAAGCACCTGTTGTTGTCGTTGGCGGATTTCTGTGGTTTTCCTTACTTTTACTTCGGAGCTTGTCAACCGTTGTCTTCGCTGTTGTCAGATGTTCATCCTGTGAAGTAACCATTGGACTCACCCATCTCTGGCGCCGCAGACCTGGCAAACCTCTGCGAGATCAGAACGTGCAGATTTTGCCGCTGCCGGTGCTGCGCTCCACGGTCCGCGTGCTCTTACAGGCAGAATGCGATGCGGGAAGTCGCCCGTGTGTTGAAGAGCTACTAAGCTTGGGCTGCGAAGTACGTGAAAAGACCACAGTGGTCGATGTGTGACAGGTCTGATGAAGTTCAGCTGGACAGCATTTGGATAAGACTCATAACCTTCCAAATTACCATCCGAGGATTCAATCATGCATGGTGACACCGGGCGTCAGCAAGACTTGGCCGAAAAAGTTTTCGCTCGGCAGCGAAGTCCAAACTTCACAGCTCACAGGCTTCAAAAACACTCCCCCCCCAGAAAAATAATAAGAGATGGAGCGGCCCAAACCTTTGGTTCCAAATGGTTCCAAGTTGCCTTTTTTATGGAATGAGATAACCAAGATGGAAGATCAGGCTGAGAACGAACCTTCTTCACTCCCCCGGGTCACCTGGATCCGAAAATGATCCGAATCTCAATCTGCTGAGCTTTGAGCGGGCGTTTCAGCCATACGCTGTACGCCGGCGATGGGCGAAGGTCCCAATGCGCGGTGGCGACGTGTTTGGGTGGTTTTTCTCACACCAAGAGACCGGGCCGAGTTGGGCGGCCCGGCACGGGCAAACGGGTTGGATGAGTTGGGTCGTTGGCCATCGTTGGACATCCGTTGGCCCGAGGGAAAGGATGTGACCGCTCGTGCCGATCGCGCCACGCAGGATCCCATCTTCTTCTCGGGGACGATCCGCTCCAATCTCCTCTCGCGCTCACCAGCGATTGTGGCATCGCTGGATGAAGATGAGGCGCTGGGAGCATGGCTTGGATTGGTGATTCGAAGCCCTCGATGCTTCGGAGGGAAGATGTGGTTTGGATTTGTGCTCCAGGTTCCGGCCCCCCTAAGGGGTGTCTAATAACAACCCCTTGGAGGTTAAGGGATGTCCATTAACCACCCCTTGGGGGTCCAGGCAAGCTTCATTGTTCCGACCATTTTTCATGGACCTTTTTGGACCTCTTTGGACCTCTCAAGCGACCTACGCCACCGCTCTCACGATTCCGGCGCGCAGAGTGCGCCCTCGCGCATGAAAAGGCGCTGTGGCATTACCTGCGGCAAGCGGGACTGGAAGACCGTGTACGGCAGCTGCCAGATGGCCTCGATGCCAAGGCATGCGGCTTGGGCCGCGGGTTTTTTTCGGCCGGGGGTTGGAGGGTCTGTGGTGAGGTGACGTAGGGAACCCCAAAAGCTTTAACAAACATGGATTTAACCATACTTAACCTGGTCACCAGACCGCAGATTCAACAGTCTTATATTTGATCATCTTGATCTGGGGGATTTGGAGAGTGTTTCCCTCGACGAGCAAATCGGAACCTCGCGGGTTCAGTGCCCGGCTTCGTGTAGCGGCTTCGTTGCTTTTTGAGTTGCTTTCACTGGACATCGTGTAGACGCTTGATGAAACAATAACAGGTCATGAAAAGGGTCTATACAATCCACATGTCCATTTTTTCTTTTATCTGATCAAGATTCCACATCAAATAAAGCCTTTTGTGAAGCCACTCACCGCTTAAACCATGTTAAAACCGACTCTTTCAGGTGGAGGAGAACGGGCAGAACTTCAGCCAGGGAGAGCGGCAACTGCTGTGCCTGGCGAGGGTCTTGGTGACCCCCAAGCAGCTTGGCGTCGGACTGACCCTTTTGCTCCAGGTGATTCTATGCGATTCAGCGACCGGGTCATGACTTCTCACACCTGCCAGCCGGGAATGTGTCTGTGAGTCGCAAGGAAGGCATCTTGAAGTCGATCTGCACCAAGGTACATCATGAAACACCGTACAATAGGTACTCCTAGCATAGGGCATCAGCCCACCTATCATCCCTTCCACCTGCCATTACCGCGCCCCGAGGTGCGATGCCGCGAGCGACGCGGCGCCACCGCCGCGGATCTTGCTGTGACGAGCCGACGGCGGCCTGCGACTTGCAGACGGACGAGCGGATCCACGAAACGCTTCTGCATGGCCTGGAGAAGGAGTTGGCGACACGGTGTTCGAGTTGTTTTCTTTTTTTTTGCGAAGAGAGGGAGTAAGAATGAGAAGGTGCTAGTTTGCCGGTGTGTTGGGGGGAAAATGAGAACAGGAAGGTTTCATTTGTGTTTCAGATCCTGAAGATTCCTGAAGAGGAGGAGGAATCATTGAAACATCTTAAAACCCACAGAACTTCTGTGACGGTTTACGTGGCGTTTTTGCTATTGCTGTCTTCTCAGGTTGGCGCGTTTCGGCTCACACGCTTGGCTCTTACAGGACTGGACGCTGGTCGTCGTTTGCCACCGGCTTCATTACATCAGAGAGACGCTTTGACGGAGATGGAGGAAGGAAGCCCAGACGTCAAAGCCAGTCGAAGCCGGTCGATCGACCAAAAGCCTTCGTTCAGAGGCCCAACATGGCCTTTTGGAGTCCACAGGCCATGTTGGGAGAGTAGGTACAACAGGTTGGTCGTTTACTTTGACGAGGTGTTCTATTTTCACCTCGACTACACTGAAAACAGGTCCTAAGGGTGCGCCTGGAGTTGATACATAGCTGCTGCCAGAAACGGGAAAATAGTTGGAATCCCCGCGTGAGAATACACCAAGCCCAAGATCATTTTGGGGCACCAAACCAGGTGTCACAAGCAGGTCCCTCACTTCTTCTTTCGAGTCGACTCGCAGCTTTGGTCAACTCGGGGACCGCCATGTTCGACCTTGGGCAGATCTGCCACGTTCGACCTTGGGCGGGTCGACTCAGCATGTTTCGGAGGGCTCTTGGAAGGAACGACCCCAATACCCTCAATCCGCCGTTGTGTCGGTGCGGTTCCATAGCACACAGAACCAAACACCGAGAGGTCGCTGGGTGTGTGGGCCTTGGTTCGGCCGCCTTTCGACGACCGCTTTTCACCGCCCCGCGCCTTCGGGTTCCGTGCGAAATCAGGTTCCGAAGAGTCTTCGTCTTCGATGCAGGGCGTGTGGTGGAGGAAGGCACTCCGGAGAAGTTGATGGCCCAGGTGCGTGGGAGGGTGGCAACGAGCCAAGCTGGTGGCCCTACTGACCCTACGAACACTCTGGGGACCCTGAGACCCTGGGGTGGTGTGGGAGAATCTCCGAACTTCAAGAATCACCCTGTCCCGCCGACTTTGCGGGCCCTGCAAGTCCACTCGGGTGCCCTCCTCTGATCAGAAATCCAAACAGCAGAAGGACACCAGATGCCTTCAAGTCCAACGTGCGGCGGTAACGGCGGGCTGTTTTCTTCGCGGTTCAAAAGCATGTCCATGCACAGCAAAGCAGTTTTCAACTGCTTTGCTGCCAAGAAGGGGTTTATTAGGTTTCCATCCACGCCCCATTTTGTAGTAAAGCCACCTTTGTATAGAGAGACCTCGCAAGAAAAATGCCGCCAGGCCGGCCACTTGGCCAAGATGTGTCAGCAGCAAGGCGTTCGATGACCTGGCTTTTGCGTGACGACGGGATTCATGAGAACAGGTGATCCCTAAGCTCACCGCAGTTTTCTTAGCAGGTGGGTTGCACTTTCGACAACAAAAACTGATTGGTTGGATTTGAATGGTGCTCTACTCCACGGTCTCCTGGTTGTCATCCTGGAACCCATCTGACACTTAGGTCGACCAATTCCGCTTTTCACTCCCTTGGCGACCATCGCTTCTTCGGTCGACTGGCCGAGAACAAAGACTCTTCCCGTGACCAGTCGCCGGAGTGAGGCACTTGGGTGTAGGTCACCTACGAGACTAGCTCCTTGATTCGGATGCAAAGGTGAATCGATCTATTTGCTTTGACCATCGCGTCAACCATCGCGGGATCTCGAACTAGTTTTTGCCCCCAATGGATGAGAAGGATACACCCGGAGAGAGATCCAGAGCTCGTGGCGGTGCAGGGTTTTCCCTACGCCCACACCGGAGAACCTCTTTTGTGGCGGCCGTACATAGCGTGCCCAGCCGACGTGCCAAAGATTGCAGCGAAAAAGGGGCCGTACAGGCATGCAGAGAAGAACTTGGACACCGGAAACCTAACCCCCCAGACCGGCTCCAGATTCAGAGCATGTGGTGGTTGGGGTGGTTGGGGTGGATGGCGGAGCTCAGTGCCATGCTTTTGGGGACTGCATCAATGATACGCGATGGTGGTAGAGAACTGGTCCATTGACAAGACGCAAGGATCGTTGTCGTTGTGATGGATTTCTGTCATCCGTCGGTGCCACCCACCTCCGTCAGCGAACACGTTTTCCTCGTTCGGGGAGGGTTCACCGAGCGCCCTCGACCATCCGCACCGGGTCTCTGGCCCGGGCCTCCCCCGATCCGCGTAGCACGGGGCAGACGGCAGGATCTTTCCGGAGAAGTTGTTTGGACATCATCGTTCATCAATTCGAGATGTCTGCTCTTCAAATCGGCCGGCTGGGCGAATTAGACATCTCAAAAGATTCAACAATCCCGACCAGCAGCCGACCAGCTGATCATGCATCTCCGACCCAGCACCGCGCTGTTCTTCAGAAAGTACATCCAAGTCTCACTCTCCCGGTGAAAACCAACAAAGCCGCTTCGCCCTGCTTCGCCCTGCTTCGCTCTTCTTCGCATCTGTCAGGACTGCCTGCGGGAGAAGAAGAATGGTCGGACGCTGATTCTGTGCCTTGGAACCGATTCGGCGGATTCGGCGGCTGTCGGGACAGATGGGTTCCTGGACCTTCCTGTGGTGTGCTGGCTTGACATCCAGAAGGAGTGTAGGGGCTTCCAGATGATCCCGATTTCGGAAGGTGCGGACAATAGAACATTCAACTTCGACTTCAACCCAGGCTCAGAACATTCAGCTGTACATCAGGGTTTTCAGACTTCCTGTCAGGGCTATCTTTCTTCCTCGGCCTTGATGTCGCTGTGATGCTGAGGACCACCCACTTCATGGACGAGGCGCGTCGACTGAACTCATCGCATCGGAAATCTGAAATCCATCCGCCGGATGGGGCACAGCTGGTTGAGTGAATCACAGCGAAACGGTGCAGCACAACGAAGAGACGAGACACAACCAGCACCATGTGGAGTTGGGTGGTAGACCCTTCCACCCTTGACGAGGTAGGGAATCCCCTCCAAGAACCACTCGATTTCGGGGTGGTGCTGGAACCAATGTTCTTCTGGCCACCTTTGGCAACTTCGACAGTCTTTTCTGCAAACAGAAGGAGGCTAGAAGCCCAGAAAGCTTGAATTGAGGCTAAGCTTTGGCCGCCTGGCCCACTTGCACAGATGGTCCCCCCTCTCGAAGCCACTCTTTTGTTTGAGTCGACCGCCTCACCGCCTCACTCATGGACCATGGACCCGCCTCTTCCGGTTTCGACCAAAAGGGGCGCCCACCGGCCCACCTGCGGAAAGAACAAGACAAACACCCTCCACCTCCACCTGTCTCCACCTCATCACCTGCCCCAACCCCCCCCCCCACTCGTTGCTTTCAGGCGGAAGAGCTCGGGGACCGGATCGCCATCATGGCGGCCGGGAGATCCCAGTGTCGCCGCTGTCGCGATGCGCGCCGGGGCGGGCGCGGGCGGAAAGGGGTTTTCAAGAGGGAGCAAGCTGCGTGGTGAAGAAGCCGAGATTCCATCTTAGAATAGATGTTAACATCTGAGAATACATCTTAGAAGCCGAGAATCCATCTTGTTCAAAAGAAAGTGCACCTTTTTTCAAAAGAGGAAGGTGACGACCCTCTTCACGCTCGCTCTTGTCTTCTGCGGCTCGCGAAGCGGGAGATGGACGGTTCCCAGGATGAAAGCAGATGAAAGCGGATGGGCTTTCCATCAGACGGGCTGATGATCCCTTATAATCCATTGATGTTCAACTAATTATCTAGTTACTTTTGAGCATCAACTTGTCCGAATCCCGATTTGCTAAATGTCCACAAAAGGGCTAGACTTGAATCAAAGAGAATAGAATCCCAACCAAGTGCAAGCCACTGTGGGCTTGGACTGAAACCAGAACACCCCTGACCATCCTCAGACTCAGACAGAGACTCTTTCCAAGCTCCGAGGCCGGTCGCGTGAAGTGTGTGGGCTCCTCACTCTTCTTGAAGTCTCAGTGCCCCTGTGGGCAGGGCTGGAGGAGTTTTGCGGCGCATGGCGACCAGCTCAATATTTACTAATACTATAGCTGTGAAAGAAGAAATCAGGGAGGGCCTACCTAATGGGTTCGGAAAGGCGAAACAACAGTGATTGGGCCAGCAATTCTCGAAATTGGGGTCTCCCTTTCAAAATGCAGCACCCATGTGGCCGCAGGCCAGTTCTTTCAAGATGAGCACGGCAGATCACCCGAAGCGGTCTTGGCTCACTAGCTGGTCCATCTCCTTTCTTCCACGCGGTTTCGCAAGATCTAGAACTCTTGAAGTCCAGTTCTGACTCATTTCACTTTGTTGGAGCTTCTGTGCGACTCGGAGTCATCGATCCCCAAAAAAACATGAACACCCTCATGTCTCGCCTCGACGGTGGGGAGCCGGTGGAACACGGCTCCCAGCAGCGCCAGGTACGGCGTGGGCTACACCTTGACCATTGCCAAGGCTCCACAGATGACCGCCCCTCGGCGCGAAACAGCCGACCTACGGAGGGCGCGACTCTGCCGGGAGGCTCCATGGGCCTTTTTGGCCAAAGAAACAGGTCGACCCCG